TATGTAGCAGACTTGTGTAAAGATCAAAAATGTGTGGCTCATGTGAAGCCAATGCAGTTGCACTTTACAAAGGCTATTGATAGCTAATGTACTTTCAGGATTCTTTCTTTTGTGAGCTCTTCATGGTTGGATGCACTTATTGTCAGTTGCCTTGGACAAAAACGAATTGAAATGTAATGTAACTGCAAACTGCTTTCGCATCACTTTCACGCCATTCCCCTTACTCGGTCTCTCTTTTCACCTTTTGTAACCGTCCGATGAAGCTCCTGCATACATGTTGGGAGAATACTGAATATACTCTTCCAATATCAGAGTCCACATGATAACAAAGGTATCCCCAACTGTAGCTGTGAACATGACAGGATGTGTGATTACCTAGAAGAGCATCAGGACTGTTTGAGGCATATGATAGCTATGTGATTAACATGATGATTCAGCCTCTATGGAGAGAGACATATGACAAGCATGATCATTTCTGACGTGGAGCTAATCTGAAGTAAACATTGAATACTGCTTTCTATTCCTCCATCTTGTGACTGTGTAACTCCCTCTCTTGGATATCAGCATGTGAAGGACACTGTTCAGGAACTAGTTGATGCTCTGTATGTGATGACTACTTCCATTCTGGAGAGGATCACAGATACATGGATCCTGAGATTCAAGCTCAAGCCGGTGACGAGTGATTATTAATATTTAGTAGTATTCAGAAAAAGTCATAATTTTGAGATTTTGAGAAAAAGTCAGGATTTTGAGAAAAAGGTCTGAATTTTGATATTTTGAGAAAGTCTGAATTTTAGAATTTTGAGAAAAAGTCAGAATATTGAGAAAAAGTTATGATTATGAGAAAAAAATCAGAATTTTGATATTTCGAGAAAAAGTCAGAATTTTGGGATTTTGAGAAAAAAGTCAGGATTTTGAGAAAAAGTCAGGATTTTTAGAAAAAGTCAGAATTTTGATATTTTCAGACAAATTCAGTATTTTGTTCACGACAGGATGTATGATTACTAGATGAACCGGTATTCCTCCATCTTGTGACTGTGTAACTCCCTCTCTTGGATATCAGCATGTGAAGGACACTGTTCAGGAACTAGTTGATGCTCTGTATGTGATGACTACTTCCATTCTGGAGAGGATCACAGATACATGGATCCTGAGATTGAAGCTCAAGCCGGGGACGAGTGAGATCTTTCTAACATAACTCTAATAATGTTAATGTTTTCCAGCTCACCTGGTCCCACAGGGCCCCGGCCACCTGGTCGATGACGGCCCCCAGCTCTCTGTACTCCCCAGAGTATCGGATGTAGGCCCAGGTGCAGAGCGTGATGAGCGCCAGGCCCAGCACCATGTTGCACAGGCTGGCGATCACGTCCACGCCCACGAAGCCCGTGATGCCGGCGGCCACGTACATGACGAAGATGACCACGAAGAGGGTGGCGGGGGTGCGTGCGGCGTGGAAAATGTTCTTGGAGTCGTTGTGCTTGATGTACTGGACGAACACCTCGTCCACCTCGGCCTCCAGCTGCTGCAGGTAGCGCCGGCTGAACTCCTCGCCGCCCATCTTCTTCACGCCCTTGAACACCTGCAGCGCCTCCTCCCTGATGGCCCCGTGCCGCGCCTGCAGCTCGCTGGGGGCCAGGAAGGGCCGGTCCCCCCCACACACCTGGGGAGGAGACGGGGTGGTAAGAATGATTTTAAAGGTCACCTATTGTCCAAAATCCACTTTTTCATGTCTCCTCTACATCAACATGTGTCCCCTCTTCTTCATGTCTCTTCTACATCAACATGTGTCCCCTCTTCTTCATGTCTCTTCTACATCAACATGTGTCCCCTCTTCTTCATGTCTCTTCTACATCAACATGTGTCCCCTCTTCTTCATATCTCTTCTACCTCAACATGTGTCCCCTCTTCTTCNGGAGGTAATACAAGGGTATTCCCCCACTCAGGGGTGTGCACTGCACATTTGTCTAAATCCAGGGGTGTGTGGTGTGTGTGTGTGTGTGTGTGTGTGTGTGTGTGTGTTGTGTGGTGGTGGTGTGTTGTGTGTGTGTGTGTGTGTGTTGTGTGTGTGTGTGTGTGTGTGTGTGTGTGTTGTGTGGGTTGTGTGTGTGTGTGTGTGTGTGTGTGTGTGTGTGTGTGTGTTATTTTACATCCTTCATAGGTTATTTTAGTTGTGTTAAGGAAGAGTTTATATTTGGACCGTTTTCATCCACCTTTAGGTCCAAGGAGTATCAAATTGTTTTGTTTGTTGGACGTCATTTTTACCAAACACAAAGACTAAGAAGACTTTACTAATTTAGTTTAACGAGTTGAACTTCTGTCTGTCGGAACTCTCTTGAGGAGTCGTTTCGGTAAGGGTTAGGGTTAGGCATGTGATGGTTATGGTTAAGGTTAGGATAAGTCTCCAGGAAATGAATGTAAGTCAATGTAATGTCCCCTGAAGTGATGTATACATGTGTGTGTGTGCAGTCGTTTCAGGCTCAGCTGGTGGGTCTGCTGCCTCTGTCTCCTCACAGGATCCCCCAGAGGAAATCACCGAGGGGAGGAGCCAGATAACATGCAGGTACACACACACACACACCTGCACTACACCTACAGTATATTACTATTGTTTTGTTTAATAATGTTTAAAAAGTCTATGTTCGTAAATTCATAGGGCTTTACATTTTCCTCCATATCTCTGACAGCATAACACAAATTGGTATTCATTCATAAAACAAAATATCCTAAATGTGCGCTGCAGAAACCGTGTACTTGAGGAACGCATTATCATTTTCAGTGTACATTTTTCCTGAGTCTTCTTTAAAATATTATTTAGAGCATAAACTCTGCGTTTGAGCATCTCTGCACGGTGTGTTGATTTCACTTTCATCTCCTCGACTTCCCTCACTGGTCTTTTTTCTTTTGTCACGTGTAAATTCAGCATAACTGGATATAAGATGGGAGCTATCACTACATCTCATGGTGGAAAAGGGAGATATGGGAGCTGTTGTATTTCTGTCACTCAAGCTGGTGTCAAATAAATCACTTACTTCAGGTGCTGAGAAATATATATAAATAGCAGAGGCTAAAACTAAATTTAAGGACTTTTTCTTCAAAAAAACAACTGGATTGGTCGTTAAAAATGCCTACATTTCATATTTCACATCTATTGTGCAAGAATAGAAATTGAAGCTACTTGTTTTTAATTATAAAAATTCTCGAAGGCACTAAATTGAATCCATGTCTTAAACTGTTCCATGTAGGGTCCTTTTAAATTGAGGAATGTGAGCCTGGATAATCCTTAAAAAGTCCTTGAATTTAATTGTTAAGAATATTGTGGAACCCTGCATTAATATATTATAAATACATCATTTTTCTGCGGTTCTGATCAAAAGCATAATCTCTAGCACCAGGGCCCAGGAGTTCAAAACTTTTAATCCCAATCAGATCCGATCAGATTTTGGAAATCCCATTTTTTTGTGATCCAGGATCAGACAAGTCGGCCAGATTTTGTCCCTGGAGTTCAAAGCAATTCAGGATAGGATCAGCCTGATCCAGATTACGATTTTTCAAGATGACTAGATCCTGAATATCAGTGCTTTAATCCTACCGATCGCCATCTAGTGGACATGAAAAATAATACAAGGAAGACAAGAGACCACATTGCAGATCTATTGTCCGCAATTACTTTTGAAAGGTGATGACAGATGGATTTTTTTTTTGTTGAAGTTATTTCTTCTTTAATCTAAATTACATTTGTGATTGACAATCTTTGTTGTGATACTTTCATGAGCATAAACATTTATGTCATCAACATTTGGTTGGAAACAAAACGTGACCAAAAACGTGACCAAAAAATGAAAAATAAAATTGATTTGCCATGAAGGCTAAAAATTGTGTATTATTTCAGTTAACAAACTTTCCCATCTTATTTATATTGAAACATATTTTTAAATAAATGGTACAGTACATTTGCTCTGGTAATCCACTGGAAATCCACCCCTCTGGTGGGATCAGGATAATCCAGTTTTTTGGGATCAAACTGATCCCAATCCTGTGTTGTCGGTTTGAACTACCCGTTTTGAAGATTTGATCCAGATTAAAGCTTGGATTGGATTTCCTGATCTGGTCGGATATCAAAGTGATCCTAATCCTGTTTTTTGGTTTTGAACTCCCCAAAATCCAAATCTGATCGGATCTGATTGAGATTAAAAGTTTTGAACTCCTGGGCCCGGATGATCTGAGTGTATTTAGCTCTTATAATCCTCTTTTTGGTTTTATTTCACATCCTATGTTTGTGTTAGCGCTGGGTTTGCTTTGCTGCTTGTTCTCAGATCCACCCGTCTGTCCTCACCTGCTCATCAAGTGTGTGTGTGTGTGTGTTTGCTTTCTGGGTTTGGTGTGCGTGTTGTCTTTGCTTCTTTCTTTAACTTTCCTCTTGGGGACTGCAGTGGTGTGATCCTCTGGGTGTTTCTCTCCATTTGTCACGTTACACACTCCTCCGTCTCTTCCTAATTATACGGATGTAGTTTGTTCAGGTGTGTGATCTCATCGTTGGTGTGTTTTTAAAAACCATCTTGACTCATTTATCTGCATTATAAACACTGATCGTCATCCCCAGTTGTTTATACTAGACATTTAACTATATATTTATACATTTAAGCCATGAAATCTTCCCTTTGTGTCACTAGTAGCCTGTGTATTCAGTCAGGTTTTATTTCCCATAATGCAACTTAGCATTAGACAAATTGTTATAAATACATCTGAAACACCGGAGCAACACAATACTTTATGAAGCTTAAAAGAAGCGCAATTTAGGACCAGTTAATTAGACGTGGTGCCTCTTTAACTACATACATGTATAGAGTACACACCTGATACAAAGTGGGATGTTATGATGCAATTACTTTAGAGCAGGGGTCTCAAACTCAAGGCCCGGGGGCCAAATCCGGCCCGCGACTTCATTTTATGTGGCCCTGCAAGAATATAATACGTTTATTAGGTTACATGCCACTTTACAGAAGCAGGTTGCCCATAAACTACATGTCCCACAATGCATCTCGTTTTGTGACATGCGCACTGAAGAGACTTGCAATTATTCGCCCTGGACTTCTGCTTTCAGACGTAGTTAATTACTAAGTTATTATCCTATCCGATAATAATCCAATGCAGAGGCAATAATGTAATATAATACATTATTTTATATATATATTTATATATTCATATTTATATAGTTACAACCGGCCCTTTGAGTGCAACCTTTATGCGAATGTGGCCCGCGATGAAATTGAGTTTGACACCTCTGCTTTAGAGACATTACTGCAGGAAAAGTGTAGTTTAATGATTTATCAATTATTAAAATAGTTGCTAAATACTTTATTGATCCCGATTTTGGAAAACATTTTGTTACAGCAGCATGTAAACAAGGTTAGCAAGGCATCGCAAAGAATAGAACAATGTACATATTAACAGTAAAAGATATATATATACACAGAATAGTCCAACTTACTACTAAATAAATATAACCATAGGATACTTTATAACTTATGACAAATCAAAAATATCAATGCAAAGTGTTAACGCATTATAATCAGAATTCTACACATGACAGGATTATTATTATTATTATTATTAAGTTATTTAAAAACCCTATAGTTGTATATTGTGTCTGTGTATTCACATGATTATTTAAGTAACACATTAGTTTAGCTGTTTTAAAGCATGTGTTTTTAGTTTTAGTTGCGTGTTTGAGCGAGGCTGGAGCGTTGGTGAAGTTTGCTGCTTCTCTCTGCAGGCGCCGGTCCAGGATCAGAGGGTCGCTCACTCTGACAGCTACCGGAGGATCGGAGGACTCTAACAGCGCCCTCTTCCTCCTCCTCCTCTTCCTCCTGCTACCTCTTTTTACTGCTGCTCTTCCTCCATTCTGCTCCTCTTCCTCTGCTGTGTGGCTGCTTCTTTATGGGAGACTGTGATCAGATGTGCTGCCTGATTTAAAGGCTGAATGTGTCATTGTTTTTCTCTGCTGCTAGGTGGCAGGAAAACACAGAAAAAGGTGGAAATACGAATTTTATCCCCAATGGGAATTATAATGGAAGTGATAGGGACTTTTTTAAAGTTTGAAGGACATGCCATATGAAATGTATACGGACGCCCTGAGAGGCAAGTGAGGGGAAAAACACTGAAATATGATTATGATTTCAGAAAAGGTGATAATACATAAAGAATAATACAAATAAAATCAAGTAGAAATGTTCTCAAACCAGTGAAGTGAAAAAAGGTTTTTGCTGGTAATGTATTTATTTTTTGTCGTTTTATTGGGAAGCCATGAACGGGAATATTTCAAACATTTTTCGTTCCTCCATTTTCCGCTTTATAACGGGTTAGTTGTGACAAAAGAGATAATGACATAATGAATTTGTGAAATATAAATTCAACATCATACTCTCTAATAACTCATAATGGAACTTCATGAGAAAACCGCAGGGAATCTTTTTTTTTTTTTGATTTCCGTAGTTTGCATCCAAATGAAACACAAATTGAAAAATAGGTTCCTTAAAAAAATCAATATATACATTTTAGAATATATCTATTTTGCCGGGAAGATTTCACTACTTAATTATTATTCCATCTTTAAGAAATGAACTGTATGATACATTTTTTTATCAGGATCAGTTTGATGATTTTGATGAAAATTATCTCACATTTTTTGTTCACGTTATTTAGGTCATAACATTTAAAAATACAATGTAAATAAATCCTCGCTTGCCTCATGAAACATCAGTCGTTAACTTTTTATACTCAATCCTAAAATACTATGTAGTTTGAATACAGGGAATGGTTTTTAACGCAGGGTGAATTTTGTTTGAATGCACTTGAACCGTTTATTCTGAGACAGGGTCTTTTTATTCAAATAAATCCTCAGAGGCTGAATGTTTTTCTTTGCCTTATGATCATCGAGGAGCCTTTTCGAACAATCAAACTAATCTGTAAAAATCAGGAGGCGTCACTCTGTGTCCACGATGAGATTTATTCATTAATTATATTTGATTATTTATGCCTGTAATTGTTATTTTATTGTACACATACTACCTGATTCTGCTGCTGCACAACCAAAGTGAACCACAGCTTCCTAAGTTATTATTGTTACTGTTTAAACACAAATAATGAATGTTTATCTGGTATTTATTATTATTATTATAAATGATTGTTTGTCCCCAGTAGTGATTTATAAATGTGTTGTTTTTGCACCATGTATAAGCTCAAATGTATTTTATTTTTGTTATTTATTTTTGATAGAATCCTCATTAAATGTATTTTATTTATTGTATGATTTAAATTATTTTTTCGTAGAGGTATCTGGAATACATGGCATAATTTTCTACCTAATTATATTAATGCTGAAATGAAAATAAATAAAGTTTTAGCTCGTTAGAAAATGATCTGCTTGTTCGTTTCATTTTCTCACACATCAACTCAAAATGGAATCAAATTAAAAAAAAATCATTTGCATCCTCGTGTTGATATCCCTGACTGTCCCAGCAGGATGAGAGGCAGAGGAAGATGAAGATCATGGAGGTGAGAATGAGGGAAATCGAGCTCTCGCTGAGTAACGTCAAGCTGCTGCTCAGAGAGAAAGTCGCTCAGCTCAAGGAGCAGGTCGGTTATATTAAGATTTATAAATGAAATTCATTGTCATTTATTATCTGTCTTTATATTTGTTAGTGTTAGAGATGTCTTGCTGTCATCTGTTGCAGCTCTTACTCAAACTGATATCATTTATTCAAGCTGTACTTTAATTAGATTAATGATGCTTTTACTAATCGCCAATCCTCTCCTTTCTGTGATGTTTGCAGCTTCATAAAAACGGTAAGGCGGACGTGTTGATCGGAAATCTGTACGATGAGAACGATGTGCTGCTGGAGGTTCTGGAGAAGACCAAGCAGCGGCACATTATTTTAGAGAAGAAGAACTTCCTGCTGGAGGAGAAGATCAGCAGCCTCAACAAGATCATGTGTGACCTGACCCCCCCGCCCTCACTGCCTTACCATTACTAATGCATTCACTACATAAAACACTGCAGGTACTCGGGACACTCAAATCATCCAAATGCATCAAAAAGCAACCAGAAAATGTAATTTAGGGCTGTACCAAAAAACTAACTACGGTTATTGATTGTGTTTAAAGGTGTTTGTTCCGGAACTTCACTGTGTGACACTCGCGTACCAACACATTGTACGTGATAGGCTAAGGGGCGGGACATCTCAGTGGTTGACCAATCACAACAGAGCCAGCAGGAGAGGACTCTTTTAAGTAGAGCCATAAAGGTGTTATTTTCTCTGTGTGTAATCTGTCCTACTTAAGCCCTTATATACACATGATTACAATGTAAATATATATAAGTATTATGTGAAAGGGAAAAAGATGAGTGAGATAATGTAAACAGAAGAGCCCTTTCAGTCTGTTTGTCTTCCCGTCCTGAATTGTATAAGTGAATGTCAAGTGGCTGTTCTTCCTGTTATTTAAAAACATGTTAAACTTTTATATGTAAAGCTGTGCAATGAGTTATTTTTGAATGAAGGACCTTGTCTCGATAATGAAGCACTAAAACTAAAACAGGGTAATGTTTGTTATAAATAAAATACATGCACCATGTCTCCTTTGATGTCTGTCTGGATTATGTTCTGTCTGTGCTGCTGTTTGGATCTTTTTGTATACGTGCTGTGTTTATATTTTACAAGTACTGTGTTTTAATACAATTGAAGGTACTGTTACATGGTTATTTTTATGTTATCATACTTGATACTACATTTCAGATGCATACTTTTTATTTCACTCCACTGCATTTATTTAACAGCTGTAGATACTTGTTTTTTTCACAATATTTTATACATATTCAAATGATATATTACCCGCTTGATCTTGCAAATCTACATCTACATTACATGTTAAAATATTCATGGATCACTGAAATCCACTACATGTATTTAATACCTTTCAGTTACTTTACAGATTTGAATATAACACTGAAATCAGACTTTAGTTCCACCTGGAGTAAATTAACAACTACCCTGCAGTACACAAAGTCATTAAAACTAGCTGTTCCTTTACCAGCTTTGATAACATTTAATTATCAATAATTATAAAACATATATTATTCTGAAATGGACCAATATGGAGAATGAGTCATTTGGCTTTTGGTCCTTTAAGTATATTGCGATGCTAATACTTATGTACTTTTACTTGACTAACATTTTGAATGCAGGACTTTTACTTGTAACAGAGTATTCCTACACTCTTGAGGCTGAGCTCCCTCCAGGGGGGCAGGACTCTGCAGCTCCAGCCCAGGAGAGGAGGACTCTCTGTGGGTGTGGAGCTTGGATCACAGCGGACCGGACCTCCGTAAGGAAAGGGAGCTAAAAGCTAGCCGGCTAACTTAGCTGCTAGCTAATGTAAAACGCTTTAAAAACATGTTAACTTTCCTTCAAACTGAACGGGACGGTCGCCGGGTCAGAGGGTCTTGCCATGACTTATTTTGTTGTTGTTGATGTTGATGTTTTTGACCCGAGCCTGGAGTTATGCTCTCTCGAAAGAAAAGTAAAAAAGAAGCGTCGAAACCAGCCGAGGTTCACGGGAAATATGTGAAGAAGGAAACGTCTCCGCTGCTGAGAAGTAAGTAAGCAACAAGTTAGCTCAACGTTAGCATGCTAGCTCAGTTAGCCTGTTACTTCAATTTGGCTTCAGTTAGCTTGTTAGCTCAAAGTTTGTACCAATTAGCTTGTTAGTTCAAACTTACCATCAGTCAGCCTGTTACATTAAAGTTAGCGCCATTTAGCCTGCTAGCTCCAACTGTATACCAGTTACGATGTTAGCTCAAAGTTGGCATTAATAAGCCCGTTAGTTCAGCGCTAGCATCAGTTAGCACGATAGCTCCAAGTTAGGACCTGTCACTAGCTTTTTAGCTCAACGTTAGCATACATTAGCCCGTAGCTCAACGTTTCAGACAGAGGGTGAAAAGAGGTGCTGTAGCAAAGGCAGTGAGAGAAAGAAAATAAGCATTAAGTTACATCACATTGGCAAACATTCTTGTATGAATAACTTGAGTAATGCGCCACATTATTGTAATGTTAAAGCTTGTAACAAACTGTTTGTATTTGTGTAAACCGTAAACACATTGATAGGTAAAGTGCTAGCTAGCATCTGCTGGCTGCATTAACGTCAGCTGCAGAGTCAGAGGAAAGATATTACGTTAATTAACAAGTTAACACTTTATTTCATTGGTTTGTACCTGATGCTATGCAGTGTTCATAGTTCAATAAAGTCAGAGTTGTAGCTTAAATGTGTCCATTGGTAGAAATGGTACGAGTGTTATCTGTTAAATTGACTTTTATTTAATAAATTTGCCTCTAACTGACATTTAATTTGCGTTATGTAGTTAATTATTACCGTAACCATTAGTTGTATCTCTTTGTCACTTATAAGCAGTGGGGCAAGAAGTATAACAACATTTATTACGAGTAGTAATGATATGCTGGTAAATACATAATTGAAAGTAAAGATCCTCCATTCATTAAGAATTTTAAATAAAGTTATATAAAGTCTCAATTAAAAGTATTCAATATTCAGACAGAATAGTCCCGTTTGTGTAATAACGTTCTCATAGATGGTTTTATTATATTTTATATTATGTACTCTTGGATGGTTAAATATACACTATAAATAATAAGAGGAGTAAGGAAATATTTAAGTGAAGTACAAGTTGGCATGGTGCAATATGAAAATGTGAGGTCTTGCTTATCCTGAACCAAAATAGTTCATAATAGCATCAAGACATTGACAATGATCAAAATACGCAGAAAACTTCTAAAAATGACATTAAAAATTCCTTGAATAACTCAACCTCCCATTTAGTAAAACAACTCATATTTGTTGTCACAGATGGGACAGTTTTTTTGTAAGAGCATATAAACAATCCTGCAAACATATTCATAATGAAATATGTATATATTGTCTTTCAACACAGTTATAAGTCAAGGTCAACTTTATTGTCAATCTTTCAGTCTGTGTACAGACAGAGAGATCGAAATACCGTTTCCCACAATCCCGAACACAACCGAATAAAGTGTTAATACAAAAATAAAAAGTAACATTTCAGACTTGATCTAACAATAAATGATTATCGTATCGTTTATGTTATTGAATTGACAGGTATTAACAGTTTCTGTGTTTCCCTACAGATCTGATGCCCTCGTTCATCCGTCATGGCCCCACGATACCCCGACGCGCCGAGGTCCCTCTGCCTGACATGGGCCCCTCTTCCTACCCTGTGGCCCCCGCCCGGGAGCCCGTGGTTTCCCGCAACAAGAGCTTCCTCCGGGCCCCGGTGCAGCGGCCCCCCCACGAGGTGGCCCGCCGAGAGAGCCACCGCATGTCGGCCCCCCCGTACCTGCCCCGCAGTCTGGGGGATCTGCCCCATGAGTACGGGGGCTCCTCGCAGTCCTTCCTCACCGACGTGGGGCTCCTGTCTGAGAATGGAGACGCTGGCCGGTACTACTACCCCCCCGAGCCTTACTACGACCCCCAGCAGCAGCAGCAGCAGCCCCCCCCCAGAAGGGGCCCCGAGCGCTTCCCCGAGGACTATAGATACTATGAACACAATGAACACAACTTCCAGAGACTTCCACAACAACACACACCCCCGGCTCCAGGGAGACCCCCCTCAGGTAAACATGATTTCACTGGTTTCTTATTCTTTCGGAAGGTAAACAAGAGGGATGGACAGAAATATCTGAGTTAAAGATGTGACAACGATCACAAGAGGGATTCTTGGTCTTTGGACGTAGTTTTGGAAAGTCATTTGCATTTATGGTTTATCGATATGAGGACAATATGTGATATTCAAAAAAGCTGAATATTGTGATTTCCCACGCACATTGACATTGCAGTGGCGATCAAATAATATTGAACTGGTTTTGGAAAATACTCGGTAGTAAGAAGTGATGACTTTGCATATTGCGATAAAACATATTAGTTTTGTAGTAAGTGCAGTATCGCTTTCTTTTACTGTGAGTTTGTCGTGCAGGTTAGCAACATAAAACCTGGCTTTTGAGAAATAAAAGTTAAGCAGTTTGTTTGATGTAGAGTAAAATCAAGGCTGCAATTCTGCAACTTTTCATATCTGTATTTTTCAGAAAAAGTTAAGAGGAGGCATTCCCAATTTTGGGCTCCTAGAAGGATGTTTTAGTATCCGTACGGATGTGGGCTTGTTATGGATTTTATTATGCGCCGTAAATAGACCTCTGAAAGGAATGCGCTGAAAAGATTTTTTTTTTTCCTTTTCCTGAGGGATGAAATATTTAGCTCTACAACAGAAACACTTGTTTAGTATGATGGACTATTTTCTCACATTTTATGGTCTAAATGAAAAGGAATTTGCAGATGAATTGATTGAGTCAAATGTCATATGAGTACAGTATAGTATTTATTCCAAGGAAATGGCGTTAAATAAAATAAATGCAGTTTAAAATTACATATGTGTAGTTCTTTTTATAATACTGCCTCACTTAGGTGATCTGGTAATTTCCTTATACTAATTTTAATTAGAAATATAAAAAATTGCTGATAATAATTTTCATCCCATATTTTCAATCGATTATTTACACAATTCTTTGAAAAAAAAAATTCATCACCAGCATCATGAATGTCCTTTTTACTTTCTATAACCAGTAACATTCTTTGGATATGAGCTCATTGCAAAAGTACATGGCTTCTGAAAGCTGACACTGCAACGTAAATAACTCTTAACTTCTGGAAGCAGGGAAATGTAAAATAATTTTAAACCTGGGTGTTTTTTTAAGGAAAGAAAAAGAGGGGAAAGATTTAGAAACAGTGCTGCATTTAGTTCATGTCTGCAGCGAGTTTGTCTCTCTGAGAAAAAGGGCAGAGATGATGATGAAGAGGAGGAGGAGGACCCCTCACATTCCTCCTCGCTGTCATTCTGCAGAATTTGTCAGATTGCAGCGGCCATTTTGCTGAGAAACTTCATTCCTCTCTCGTTGTGCAGAGTTTAAAACTGCTCCTCCTTCTTCACTCCTGAGTCATGATCACTTTCTCACTGCTGAACGCGTGACATTTCCTCTCATTACCCAGCAGGAAGGAAGGACACTTCAGAGGCTGCTGGTGGAGAGTGTGGGATTTCAGTTTGTCGGTTTAACTTTTCAAATGTAAACAAACATTGATCAAATATGCCGGTTATATAAGATGCTCCGTCACAAAGGGCTGCAACAAATGCTACTCACAAACCATCAGAGTTTTACTGATTAATCGACTTGTTTGTATTTGTATATGAAGGCATTGTACGGGAGTAAAAACAACATACGAGGCAACACTAGAAACGTTTCTCTATCAAAAGGGAACACGGGGATTTTAGCCTTTGCAGACCATTTACCGGTACATGCACAAAAAAGAACACAGAAATACTTTCTTTATAAAAAATGTACTCATTGCAAAAGTCTCCTAGTTTCTAGAAGCAGAAACATTTTCTTGCAACGGGAAATAAGTAGTAAATAAGCAGAATTGAGCGACTGAAAAACAAAATTTCTTCATCTCTACTGTCACAACAGAGTTCAAAGGTCAAACAACCAGAATCTCTTCAT